GGGTCTTTTGTGGTTCCATACAAATTTTAGGATAGTTTGTTCTAGTTTTGAGAAGAATGCTGGTGCAATTTTGCTTGGGATTGTATTGAATGTAGATTGCTTTGGGTAGTAATGACATTTTAACTATATTTATTCTTCTGATCCATGAGTATGGAATGTTTTTCCATTTCTTTGTGTCTTCTTCAATTTCCTTCATAAGTTTTCTATAGTTTGCATCATACAGATCTCCTATATCTTTGGTTAGGTTTATTCTTAGGTATTTTATGGTTTTTGTGCAATTGTGAATGGGATCAGTTTCTTGATTTCTCTTTCTGTTGCTTCATTATTGGTGTATAAAAATGCAACCAATTTCTGTACATTGATTTTGTACCCTGCAACTTTGCTGAATTCATGGATTGGTTCTAGTAGGCATCTGGTGGAGTCTATCGGGTTTTCTATGTAGAGTATCATGTTGTCTGTGAAAAGTGAAAGTTTGACTTCTTCTTTGCCAATTTTGATGCCTTTTATTTCCTTTTGTTGTCTGATTGCTGATGCAAGAAATCAGAATTAGACTCACAAATGTATGGCCAACTAAGCTTTGACAAAGCAGGAAAGAGTATCCAATGGAAAAAAAGACAGTCTCTTTAACAGATGGTGCTGGGAGAACTGGACAGCAACATAAGAAGAATGAAACTAGATCATTTTCTCACATCATCCACCAAAATAAACTCAAAATGGATGAAGGACCTGAATGTGAGACAGGAAACTTTCAAAACCCTAGAGGAGAAAGCAGGAAACAACCTCCCTGACCTCAGCTGAAGCAATTTCTTTCTCTATACATCCCCAAAGGCAAGGGAATCAAGAACAAAAGTGAACCATTGGGACCTCCTCAAGATAGACAACTTTTGCACGGCAAAGGAAACAGTAAAACTAAGAGGCAACCGATGGAATGGGAAAAGATACTTGCAAATGACATATCAGATAAAGGGCTAGTAGCCAAAATCTATAAGGAACTCACCAAACTCCATACCTGAAAAACAAATAATCCAGTGAAGAAAAGGTCAGAAGACATGAACAGACACTTCTCCAAAGAGGACATCCAGATGGCCAACAGACACATGAAACGATGCTCAGCATCCCTCCTCATCAGGGAAATACAAATCAAAACCACACTGAGATACCACCTCATGCCAGTCAGAGTGGCTAAAATGAGCAAATCAGAGAACTCTAGATGCTGACGAGGATGTGGAGAAACAGGCACCCTCCTACACTGTTGGTGGGAAGGTAAACTCGTGCAGCCCCTCTGGAAAATAGTCAGGAGTTTCCTCAAAATATTAAGACTATAACTCCCCTATGACCCAGCAATAACACTGCTAGGAATTTACCCAAGGGACACAGGAGTGCTGATGCATAGAGGCACACGTACCCCAATGTTCATAGCAGCACTTTCAACAATAGCCAAATCATGGAAATAGCCTAAATGTCCATCAACTGATGAATGGATCAAGAAGATGTGGTTTGTCTATACAATGGAATACTACATGGCAATGAGAAAGAATGAAATTTGGCCATGTGTAGCAACATGGATGGAAATCGAGGGTGTCTATGCTAAGTGAAATAAGTCAGGTAGAGAAAGACAGATACTATATGTTTTCACTCATATGTGGAACAGGAGAAACTTAGAGGACCATAGGGGAGGGGAAGGGGAAAAATAGTTAAGGAAAGGGAAGGACGCAAACCATGAGAGACTCTTGAATGCTAAGAAAAACTGAGAGCTCCTGGAGGTAGGGGAGAGGGGAAGGGGGCTGATGGGCATTGAGGTGGGCACTTGTTGGGATGAGCACTGGGTGTTATATGGAAACCAACTTGACAATAAACTATATATATAAAAAAAAGTCCTGTCTTCAAATAGAGGCACATGCTACAGTAATGGAGGTTAGGACTACAAAATACAAGTTTGGGAAGACATAATTAAGTCCATAACACTTTTATTTCCTTTTTTGTCTTTTGCATTACCTAAGACTTTCAAAAGAATGCTGAAATGTATGGTCAGGGGAGACATCCTTGCTTTATTCCTACATTAGCAGAAATGCTTCTAGTTTCTCATCATTATACATAATCTTAACTGTAGTTTTTTTTTAATGTTCTTTTTCAAGTTTAGGAAATTTCCCTCTATTCCTAGTTTGCTGAGAGCTCCTTTACTTTTTACCATCACCAAGCACATATACAAGATCAAAAATGTGATACACACTGCCTTTGGTGTACTCTCCTCATGCTAATCAGTTAATAAGTTCTGTATATATATTTTTAAGTTTATTTATTTATTTTGAACGGGGTGGGAGGTGGGGTAGTGGGAATCCCAAGCAGGCTCCATACTGTCAGCACAGAGCCCAACACAGGGCTTGATCTCACAAGCCATGAGATCATGACCTGCGCTGAGATCAAGAGTCAAATGCTTAATCCACTGAGCCACCCAGGTACCCCAGTTCTGTGTATTTTATGTGCAACTTTTCAAATCAGCCTTTTTGAACTTATACTGGCATACATCAAGCCCTCAATAATATGAATTGGTTCAGCAGTTTCCCTGATTCAAATCTATTCCTTTTAAATATATCTTCCACATAGCCTTGAAGACTTTCACTTATTACCAACCACCATCCTCAGGTACTTTACAATCTTTATGTATTATTGGCATACATATCTCTGAATTATAATTCCCTGTGCAAGATGTGACTCTCACACTAAACTGTAAGCTCCCTAAAGAATGACTTTGTTTAACATCCAGATGGCTAACAGACACATGAAAAGATGCTCAACATCATTCATCATCAGGGAAATACAAATTAAAGTCACAATGAGATAGTACCTCACACCTGTCAGAATGGCTAAAATTACTAACTCAGGAAACAACAGATATTGTCGAGGATATGGAGAAAAGGGAACACTTTTGCACTGTTGGTGGGAATGCAGACTGGTGCAGCTACTCTGGAAACAGTTTGGAGGTTTCTCAAAAATTTAATAACAGAGCTAGCCTACAACCCAACAATTTCACTGCTAGGTATTTATTAAAAGAATACAAAATGCTGATTCAAAGGGACACATGCACCTCCAAAATTTATAGCAGCAATACCAACAATAGTTAAATTATGGAAAGATCCCAAATGTCCACCTAATGACAAATGGATAAAGAAGAAGTTGTGTGTGTGTGTATATATATATATTACTCAGTGATCAAAAAGAATGAAATCTTGCCATTTGCAACAGCCTGATGGGACTAGAGTGTATTATGCTAAGTGAAATAAGTCAGAGAAAGATGAATACCATATGACTTCACTCACATGTAGAATTTAAGAAACAAAACAGATGTCATAGGAGAAGGGAAGGAAAAATAAGATAAAAACAGAGAGGGAATAAGCCATAGGAGATTCTTAAATACAGAGAACAAACTGACAGTTACTGGAGAGGAAGTGGGTGGTGGGATGGACTAATTGGTTCATGGGCATTAAGCAGGGCACTTGTTGGGATGAGCACTGCATGTTACATGTAAGTGATAAATCACTGGATTCTACTTCTGAAGTCATTAATATGCTATAGGTTACTTAACATGGATTTAAATTAAATTAAATTAAATTAACCATTAAAAGAATAAAAATAAAAGCATTTTAAAAATTTTTTAAAAGGCAAAAAGAAAAAAGCAGACAGGAAGTTCTCTATGAACCTGTATGGAGTGATATATAGCATATATTGTTAAGCAAAAACAAAAAATAAAAGCAAAGTATAAAGGACTGTATATGGTATGCTAGTTTCCAGGTAAGAAAACTTTTTTTTAATTTTTTTAATGTTTTTATTTTTTTCTGAGAGAGAGAGACAGTGTGAGCAGGGGAGGGTCAGAGAGAGAGGGAGATACAGAGTCCAAAGCAGGCTCCAGGCTCTGAGCTGGCAGTCAGCACAGAGCCCAATGCAGGGCTCAAACCCATGAACCATGAGATCATGACCTGAGCTGAAGTCGGACGTTCAACCAACTGAGCCACCTGGGCGCCCCAAGAAAAACTTTTTAAAAAGTATTTATATATGTGTATACTTATTTATTTAAGTATGCAAAAATTTATCTAGAAAGGCTAAATCAGAAACTTACTGGAAATGGTTACTCATAACGAGCTGGTGGCAATACCGTGGAGAAGAAAGAGATGGCATTGAGATTTCTCTGAATATAGTTGTATACAGTTTTTGCTTTTTAACTATGTAAACACTTCAGATTTTCAAAATAAAATTAAATATAGATATGAGCCCCCCCGCAAAAGAATGACCTTATTTATACCTGAGCTGACCCCAAGGTGAGAACAAATCATATCAAGAAATAATTAGAATTAACTATTAATTAGAATAATTAACACAAAAAATATGAAGATCCAAACGGAGGAAAGGATTACTCAGAAATGTTTGCAGTTCTCTTTGTCCTACTTGGTTCTTCATATTAGTTAGGGTCCAGCACCTAAACGACCTCAGAGTCTCTAACACATCAATAAACAATATTTCAAGTTAATATGTATTATGAAGATTACTTATTTTTTTGTTTCTTCTTATTATACTTCTCAATACATGACACATAAAATGCTTGTGAAAGTATTTTGTAATACTTTTTTCACTTGTAAAACTGAAAGTTCAATAACTGTTTAACATGTACTATTCGTATACTATAATAAAATATAAAAATCACGTTTATATTTTTATAATCATGTAACTTTCTATAACAATATAGAAGTCAATTCAAGAAATAAAATGTTATTTTAGATCAGTGGGAAGGTTCGACTTGAAAAATGCTGCCCTAATGTCCATCTCCAACATCAAGAACCTTTTGGATTAACAATGTCTCTGACCAAAAAAAGTAATATGCAGGACACATCATCTTGAAAAAGCTTCTGTTAATATGTCTGTGATGTTCAGGAGATTAATTTTCATTAATGGCCACAAGAAGTATAAAAGAAATAGCCACAATACCTTTGATGGATGGGAAATAATAATCAAAGAAGAGTATTTTTTGTCTCTAAAAGCTTTTTTAGAGCCTCTTTGACATCTTTGTTTCTCAGAGAATAAATCAAAGGATTCAACATGGGAGTGACTAGGGTGTAACACAAGGAGGTCACTTTACTCAGCTCAGGAAATCTGTCAGGAGTGAGATAGGTAAAAAAGACTGTACCGTACAGCACACTCACGACTCCCAGGTGAGAGCTGCAAGTGGAGAACGCTTTCTTACGTCCCTCAGAGGAGTGTATTTTCAGAACTGCGGATACAATATACATATAGGACACAATAATGACAATTATGGTAGGCAAGGTAATGATGCTGGATAAGGAAAAAGAAATTGTTCTATAGATGAAGAGGTCAGAACAAGATAATCTCTGAAGTGGGCGAATATCACAGAAAAAGTCGTCAATGGCCCGAGAACCACAAAATGGCAAAGTAAATGTCATGCTGGTCTGAAGAATTGAGCTGATGCAGCCACAAAGATAGGAACCAGCCACCAACTGGGTGCAGAGACGCGCTGACATCTGGACAGAGTAGAGGAGTGGGCTGCAGATGGCGATGAAGCGGTCATAGGCCATGGCTGCCAGGAGAAATCCTTCAGCCACTATGAAGAGGGCAAAGAGTAAGATTTGTGTCACACAGCCTGCAAAGGAGATGGACTTGCTCTCAGACCAGAAGTTGATCATAGCCTTGGGGGCAATGACAGATGAATAGAAGAGATCAATGAAGGACAGGTTGCCTAGGAAGAAATACATTGGTGTGTTCAGCCGGGGATCGGTCATGATAATGGTCATCATCCCAACATTACCCAGAAGGATCATGGCATACACCAGCAGAAAGATCACGAAGAGGAGAATGTGGAGCTCTGGGCAGACCCTGAAGCCTACAAGGATGAAGTCGGTCACATCAGAGTCATTGCTTGTTCCCTTGTCACCCATAGCAGAAACCTGCTGAGAGATACATGGAAGAACAAACAAATGAACTCTGGATTTGATCCTAGCTTCAAATAATCTCTTACAATATTAGGATTTATTAAGTTTTTTTATAATCATTATTTATTAACTTTATAAATTATTGTCACTTAAGTTTAAGCCAATTGCAACTGATGATGCGTCAAAAGATTAGTTTATTGGCTGTATTTCAACAAGCAGTGGAACTGTATTGAGACAGGGAAACCTAAGGGACCCCAAGAGAGAAAAGGCTGGGTTTTTCCCCCTTACTTCTGTTCTTTCAAGGACCTGCAGCCCCACCCCACTTTATACATGCTTTGTAATGTAAATAGCCTCTACCCATCATGTAAGGGACAAAGAAAAAATAGCACCTAAGAAAAGATCAGGTGAAAATGACCTTATGAATCTATCATATGCATATTCCAGGCCACCGAGCTAGACATCTCCACGCCAAGAGCCCTTGGTTCCAAAGAATAACACCTGGGCCTTCGTCTTTCTTGGAACCAGGTCCTGGTTGCCTAAGAGTACACGTACATCAGACCACCATCACCTCAGACCCAGAAAAAAGACAAGATTTATGCTCTTTTCCTTTTTAAGTCTCCTAGACACTCCTTTTATCTTTCTCTCTTTCTATTTCTCCCTCTCCATAGATAGATAGATAGATAGATAGATAGATAGATAGATAGATAGATGATATATAGATGATAGATAGATAGATAGATAGATAGATGATAGATAGATAGATAGATAGATAGATAGATGATAGATGATAGATAGATGATACAGATTATAGATATAGATATAGATAGATATAGATATAGATATATAGATACAGATATAGGTATAGATATAGTTCTTCAATAAACTCTGCTTTCATAGCCTGCTGGCTCAGGTTTGATTTCCCCATTGTGTGAAGCCAAAAACTCTCTTGGCTAGTCCTGCAAGACTCCCCTCAATTCCAGGTCCCCTGGCCACTTGCCAGCATCAGTACTAAAAAAAAAGCAATTATAAATAGATCATACTTAGGGTCTATGGAGGCATAAGATACTTACGCCATGAGAAGACAGCCCGAAGTAATCATGAATATTTGTTGAATAAATATTTATTGAAAAAATAAATAACATATTTTGTTTAGTTTCCTGTAATTTTGCCCAAGGGCACAGACACTGATCATTTTAATTTTCCAGATATTTTCCTATCAAACTCGTTCTAATGTTAATAAGTTGTTGCCTAAATGGAGAATTTTTCCCAGGGTAGCCAATAAAAGAGTGCTCAGTGCATGACTTATTCTTCAGAGCTCACATGTTTTAAGATGTACTCTTACCTTGTATCGTTTGGTAATTTGTCAGATTCTGAAAATGAAGCAGCAGAATCCTGATGTTGTCCTCTTCTTATTGTTTTAATTCTAGAAAGGATAAACATAAAATTAATTAAGAACTTTGCTCTAAGTATTGGATAATCACTGTGTCAAGATAAAATGCATCCCTTTCCCCCCAAGATTTTCCAAATGCATGTTTGTTATCCCAGTTTTAGTTCTTCCCATAGACAAACTGGAGCAATTTCTCTGTTTAAATAACTGTCTTTTTCTTTAGTAGTTGATTTCTTGGAAAATGCTACAGTCCTTTGTAGAAAACACAAGGTGAATTTTCCAAATGATGCTTTGCTAAGACTGAACAGGTCCAGGAATGACAATCCATAGTTATGCAAAGTGAACCTGAGGGATCAATCCACAGGATAGTCTCAGTCCAGCATGCTTCCTTGGATGATGAGTGCTTTTAAAGAAGTGAAATACATTGGCCTGGATATGTAAATAGAGGTCCTGAGCTACCTGGAATCTCTAATAATCTACTGGAGTATCAACAGCGTTATCCATACTGGCTTTGTTTTTGGCATAACAGTGGGGTTTTTTTCAAATAATTGCAGGATTGAGGTTTCCCTCACCTTCTGGGAGATAGTGTTCCTGGGAGAAAAAGAAGTATAAGTAAGTTATTAAAGTACCTAGCCTCCAGAGCCGAGCTCCGTAAGGACCGCAGAGGCTCTAAATTAAAAAAAAAAAAAAGAAAGAGAAAAAAAAAAAACAATGAAAGGAAAAGAAAGAGAAAAAAAGAGCCAAAACCTAAAAGATATTGAAGCTGGGTTTATTTAGATCTTTTGGTTTTCATGTGGTGAGTATTATCACCATGAGTTACCCCTCCAATATGAAAGAATGTTATTGTGCTATACATTTATGATTTGTGGATTTTTATATATGTAATACTTTTATAAAAGTTAATAAAAACATGACATCAATCTTTGTACTTGACCATGTTTCTACTGATCATGAGTATTATACAATTATAATCAAATATATTAATTTTAAATATATGTACCTATATACAATCATACTAGAAAGATTGAGCACTTCTTTTTGATCTGACAGTTAACCATATTGTAGACTTCCAAACAGAGCCACTGAAATAACTGTGATAAACTACTTAAACAGAGGGAACATAACAATTATAAGTAATTATTTATACCATCACTTGTCACTCATTTCTACCATGTCATCTTGATAACAAGAAAAGGGAGCAGTCATTTTTTAAAAACTCAAGTAATACTTAGATTATAAAATACTCTTTTAAAGTTTGTTTTTCTTCTGAACTTGGGGGTCTTACACTGGGAAAAGCAATACCAAAAATAGTATCAAAGTTGGCTGTTCATTACATGAACATTTAAGCACAGGTCACTGATGTTTTGGGATAAGACTGGACTCTTAGCATTAATCATTTCTGAGAAAAAGTGTAAGAATAAAAATGTAAACAAATAAAAAGTTGAATTCCAATGCCTTAAAATAAAATTAAATTAAAAATGGAGGTTTTTTTTTAAACATTTTATTTTTTATTCTTTAAACCTTTCTTTTTTGATGTTTACTTACTTTTGAGAGAGAGAGGCAGAGAGAGAAAGAGAAAGAGAATCTAAAGCAGGCTCGAGGCTCTGAATTGTCATCACAGACCCTGATGTGGGGCTCAAACCCATGAACCATGAAATCATGACCTGAGCCAAAGTCAGACGCTTAACTGGCTGAGCCACACAGGTGCCTCATTTAAACACTTTAAATTGGATTTATAATTTTTGTAACATGTAAAACAAAATCTAACCATATACTGCTTATGGGTGATTTTTCTATAGCAAAATACCACAGTAAATTAAAAATATAATAGTTGGAGTAAATACACCAGATATATTAGTTCAATGTAGTAAAAAGTTATTTATTATGGGGCTACAAACCTATTCCAAAACTCACGTTCAGTATAATAAAATGTACTGACATAATTAATATCATAAGGGCACAGAATAGTCAGTTTCATTTACATAGGCAGAGAAACTCTTTTAATAATAAAGCTTCTAAATAGTTTATACCTTAAAATAACAAATAAAAATTTTGAAATGTTTGAGAATGAAATTAATGAGGAAGTATAAGCTGGTGAGAATAATTGACTTTAAAATTACAACAATGTAACTAAATAATAAAATGATCATCAAGATCAAAAACAGTGTTTAAAACTAATTCTCTTGCAATGCTAATTCAGAAAAGAAGAAAAAACATAAAAATCACAAAAATTGACAACTACAAATGCAATAAATATTTTAAATCATGATAGAAAATTCTGAACAATACAGAACATGGAAGACATAATGTAACTTTCTAGGAAAAGTACTAAAAGTTAGAAAAGAAGAAATTAAAAATTTAAAACTCTCTGACAGCTTAATGCAGCTAGAATATTTACAAAGGAGTTTGGCACAAAATCTTTCCTGTTTCACAGAAACAATTGCAGAAAATAGAAATATAATTTTTTACTACATGGGAATAGAAAGAATATTTTCTAACGTAATAAATGTTTTTCTCCAAAAGCATGATACTGAAGATAATAGCAAAATGTAATTAATGTTTCACCTTATTCATGGCAACTTAAGAATGTCTGTGATCAACACCATCTTTCAATATTTCAGTGCAAGTTATAGCTAATGCAATAATTGAAAATAGATAAGGATTAGAAGGTGGGAAAAAGCATTAATATAGCATAATAATTGCCCACAATGACATTCTATGAAATATATAGAAAACCTACACGAAGTTATGAGGACTAATACATGAGTTTGGTCACAAACTCGAAATAATAGAGCTCTATACAAATAGTAAACAATTAGAAAATGTAACAGAAAAACAAAATAGCCCTTTTATAATAAAAATTGGATGATACATCGAAATAAATACACAAATGTGTGCAAGACCTTTTGAAAATTTAGATCTTATAAAGAACACTATAATATGTTATTAAAAGTTATAAAATAAGACATGAATGAAGTGAAAGATATACCATGATTAGAAGCAGATTCGTCATGAAGCTGAAGAAGCTTATATTTAAGTCCTCCAACTTAACGCATTCCCCTTTGAAGTCACTTAAAGGGTGGGAGGGACCAGCGATGGATTTATCTAAAACCCGTGTGTTTTAAAATTTGCAAAAAACATTACCTGCAATCAGTTAAAACTGTTAACTCCATTCTCTGATATTTCCCTTTGTGTCAGGGTACCTTGAGGTGGATCCAGTTAACAGAATGGCATATTCAGAATACATTTAAATGCTTTTAGTGAAATGTATTTGATGTTTCTCAGTGACATTTTTATGTAGTCAAGTAATCCTAGCTATCCTAGCTGGGAATGGTTTTCAGAAATATTTCAACTGCTTACTATGCGTATTCATAGTTCTAAGAATGTGTGCCTGTTGGATGCAGTATGGTAAAGTTGGTGCAGCCACAGGAGCAAACAAGAACAAGGCTTAGAAGGAAAAAGTTGTTTTACTTACAGGTCCCAAGAAGAGAGGGAAGGTGGTTACCATATGCCCCATATGCCGTGGAGGGCCACAGGGGAAGACACCAACTTAGGTCAGGAGACAGGTATGAGTGAAGGGCTTAGGCCATAGTTTTTAAAAGAGTTTCTGCAGAAATGACAAGGTAGGGCAAGGTACATGGCTTAGGATTAGCTGGTTTGA